TTCTGGTTAATAAACCACAGCTAGGAACTACCTTTATTAGGCCAACTTTGACCTGTCAGGAATCCCATCTCTAATGATGGAAGAACATTGTCTACTGATATTATTTATGTTACTTTGACACCCACAGAGTAGATTCAGTTCTTGACTAAATGAAGACAGATATGACATTCCTTCAAATAAATACATTTTTCATCTCCACTACTCTTTTATGTTCGAAATAAAGATTTACAATTATACTCAGTTCCTGACTAAATGCAGACAGATTTAACATTCTTTCAAATAAAGACATTTTTCATCTCCACTGTTCCTTCATGTTCAAAGTAAATATTTAGAATTATTTCAATGATAATTACTACCTTTTAGACCCTTAACCTTCTCTGATGCCTTCATTTTTTTAATACATAGTAACTCCTAGTCTGTGATTATTAGACTCAAGCAATGCTCTTTTTCCTTGCATAGTTCTAGAACAGAAGGATGATTAATTCGAGACACTGCATTGCCATTAATATAGATCTGTGTTCAATTGTTTTTTTGAACATTTTCAATTTTACTTGTTGCTAATCAGTTTGTAATTTTGAAATCTCAATCAAGTTTTATATTTTGAGAATTCCTGCTTCTAACAGATAATATTTTTAAGGGGCAAATAAATTCCAACTCAAGGTTTTCTTCTTTTTTTTTAACCTATTTAGCTCAAAATAGCTTCAACTCTGTTGTGTTATGAAGTCTCTTATTTACCAGTTGGCTGAGAGTATAGTTATCGCTGTTTAAAAATATAATTGAAAGACCAATCAACTTAAATGAGAAAGGGGGAAAAAAAAGTACAGGACTTTGTGTGAAGGTCGGGTCCTCAATTCTAGGATCCCAGTAAGGCTGAATGAAAATATGATGGCAGTTAAGGATTAAATGGACACTAGTTGGGTATTCTGGTTATTAAATAACATAGGTTTTGATGGATTGATATTAGATTGTGGAAGCTGAACATCTAGATTTTATTTTGGAAGTTTTGTGAATTCAATAGCCGATTTTAAGTTTTCATCAGAAGAGCTACAGAATCAACTTTTAAAGAAGATTAATGTAACTAAGGAATGAAGGATGAAAAGGAAGAAAAGAGGTGGAAGACAGGCATCTTGTGAAGGAGAAGTCAAAAGGGTCAGGTTTTGTGTAACAACACAGGTGAATCTTCAGACATGATGTTGAGCAAAAGAAGCCAAAGACAATGGGGTTGTATTCTAATATCCCATTTATAAGAAATTGAAAAGTAGGCAAAAACTAATTTATAGTGATTGAATTCAGTGGTTAGTTTTGGAGGGAGGTAATGACTGGGAGGCTTCCAGGGTATTAATAGCCTTATATATTCTGATCCAGGATGTAAAAATTCATCTAGCTCTATGGTGTAGTTATGTGTACTTTATAATATGTATGTTCTAACTCAAAAAATTTATTCCTCCAAAGGGGATAGAGTTAGAATGGAGGTAATAAAATTGGAAAGCAAGAGAAAATTCTTTCCATATACATCTTTCAGGAAACAAACAAGAAAGTCTAATAGGATGTATAAATAGGTATGGCCATTTCTGTTATTAAAGTGAGCTGTATCTGCAAGGCTCATTGTGATAAATAGTCTTTAAGGATGACTGCCATCAATCCTTCCCCTCATGTAAGTGGGTAAAGTCTGTGTGCCCCCTCTTGAATCTGGGATGTCCTTAGGACTTGCTTTGATCCATGAAATATAAAGGAAATGACACTGACAGTTCTTGGCCCACCCATTTAGATCCTGAGAGCTTCTGTTTCTCTCTTGGGAACTCATCCGTCATGTAGTAAAGAAGCTTGGATTGGTCAGACTGCCGAATGCTGAGACATCATTTGGACAAAGAGAACCCTGAGTGATCAGATGTGTGACTGAGGTATTCGTAGATCTTCACGTGCTCACAGAAGGTAACTGAGGGAGTGTCATGAATGATGCCACATGGAACGAAAGAAACCCTTATATGACCCTCCCCTGAATTATTCCCATGAGAAAATCCACATTGTGGTTGTTTTAAGCTCCTAAACTCCAGAACTGATTATCTCATACAGTAGTGGGAACCTGCAACAGTTGTCTTCTAGAGTGATGGCTCTCAACAGCAGATAGAGGCATATCGTTCCCCCAGGAGATATTTGTCAATATCTGCAGACATTTTTAATTGTCATGACTAGAGAGGCTAGTACTGACATCTAGTGGGGAGAGGCCAGAGACATTTCTAAACATCTATACTGTGCCGAACAATCCCAACATCAAAGAATTATCCAGCCCCAAGTATTTGTGAAACCATGATATAAGAGCAATGATTTGTAACTTAGGTGGGTGCCCAGGAATTTTTCTCCAAACCTTTATTCCTAAAACTTATACACACACATACACACACACACACACATACACACACACACAAAACATGAGATCTATCCAGAAAAAGTACAGCCATTGTTAATATAGTGAGGATAGTTTGCATGACATCAATGTAAACTGGCAGCCAAGGAGAGTGGACTGGAATGCACATACATGAACAAGGACAACTTCACTGTACTAGTCATTGGGGGTGGTAGATGTCATGAGTGAGCATGTTTACTGTATGGCCGTCACAGTCAAAATGAGCAGGTAGAGAAATGAATCTGTGTCAAATTTTGCGTTAAGCTTGACTATTCCTCCATGGAAACTATTCAGAAAGCCACAACTACAGGCAACTGGAGACTGGGAGCTTCACCATGACAGCATGCCCACTCATGCATCACATCTCAAACAGAGTTTTTTGGAGAAACATCAAATCACCCAAGTGACTCAGCCAGCCCCTCCTACAGGCCAGATTTGGTGCCCTGTGACTTCTGCCTTTTCCCAAAACTAAAACCACCTTTAAAGGGAAGAGATTTCAGACTGTGATAAGATTCAGGAAAATATGATGGGGCAACTAACTGATGGCGACTGGGAGAACTGTGTGAGGCCCCAAGGGGCCTACTTTGAAGGGGACTGAGGTGCCATTGTCTTAAGTACCATGTTTCTTGTATATTATATCTTCTTCAATAAATGTCTATTTCTCATATTACATGGCTGATACGTTCTGAACAGACCTCATATATGTGATCTTATAATCATCTCAGACCTTCAGAACCAGAATTTCCAGGGAAGGGGCTTGGGAAATTATATTTTTATTTTCACGGTAGTTGAAAAACATTGCCTTCGGCTGGTGCTTTTCCAATTTTAATGTGTATGGAAATAATGTGATGTCTTGTTAAACTGTAGAATCTGATTCACTTTATCAGGGTTGAAACCAAAATTTCAGATTTCTACCAGTCTCCCAGGTTATGCCCAAGCATTGCTCCTTGACCCCATTTTGCATAACAGGACCCTAGAGCAGGTCTCAAATGTTAGCGTACATCAGATTCTCCTGAGAGACACAGACCACTGGGCTCACCCTAGAGTTTGATTCTGCAGGTCTGGGATGGGGCCTGAGAACTTGTATTTCTGACAGGTTTCTAGATGATACTAATGCTGCTAGTCTGGTAATCACACTTTGAGACCCAATGCCCTAGGCAAGTATTTTGCACATCTAAGTGTACCTAAAAATTTACCTCAGGAGGCAGCAAAAACTGAAGGTTCTCAGACCTCCCCATCCCCCGCCATATTTCTTCCTTCAGTCTGGACTGGGAACTAAGTAATTTGCATTTTAATAAATTGTCTCACCTGAGGTCATTCTAATATCAGTGGTCTAGGACCACACTTCAAGAAGCACTGCCTAGGGAAACATAATATTTAGAGTTTGAAGGAGGGGCATGGTTAGTTTGCAGAAACACATTCAATCTCATAATTGGTTTAATCTGAATTTATTCTAAAATATCAAATGGCATTAAAGAATAGAGGAGAATTTTATGCTTATTAAAGGTGGCCCCAGGTTATGCACTAGAACTGTAAAGACTGTTTTAGAAAGGGTGTTTTCTACTTGAGTCAGTCGCTCAGTTCTTTGCAAGTTCATGTATTTACACTTTCTGTAGCAGCTACAAGTTGGGTGCTTCTGCCAATTTAAGACAAGGCATTAATAATAATGACCATGGTTAAACTTTCTTGAATTTTTGCTGTGTACCAGGCATTATTACGTAAATACTTTGCGAATGCTCTCTAATGCAATACACTAGATAACCCCTTTAGAAGCAGGTCCTATTATCCCCAATGCATAAAGAGGGAAATTAATGCATACTGAGTTTAAGATACTTGACCAGGATCCTACAGCCAGTTAATATCAAGCCCAGAGTTTTCACCTTGTCTGGTGGATAATTGATAGAATAACAGATAGATGGACAAGAGATAAGATATGGGCATCTGGTTTAAATATAGTTTTTAAAAAAATTATAATTCTTATGTAAAATGATAGTTCAAATGAAATGACCTCTTTGTATAATTAGTAAAGGATGTATTTTGGAACACGATATAATATATTACCTTGACAGGATATAGCAATGGCTGAAGGTCATTTACTATTTTCTACTATTACTTTACCAGGTTATTTTTAACCTTATCAGAACTTTAATATATTTTTCTTACCCTTCTATTATATTTGAAGATTTTCAAGCAATATATTCTTTAGTAGTCTTTTTTATTTGTATTTATTTATTTATTTATTTATTTATTTATTTATTTATTTTGGCTTTTGGCTTTTGGCTTTTGGCATGGTTAGTTAAGAAAGTTTAAAGTCATCTTGTCTCAAATCAAATATAAGTTCAGGGCTATCTTGTTCTTCACTATATGATATATGTAGAGATAAGTATTTTCCCTGTCATGTGTTATCTTTCATTAAATACTACAGTTTCAAGCAGCCACTTGTTACTGCTATCCTGCAATTTCCTACTCCTAAGTCAAATAAAAAAAATATTTCAAACAACAGGACGCGTGCAAAGTTTCCTTTGCTGCTTTTAAAAATATCACTCTTGATGCTCAGCCTTATCAAAGATAAAATCATCCATCTTAAACACATCCCATACTTACCTGGCAGGGGGGTCCTGTGATCACGAAGGTGGTTTTCCCAGGGCCAGGCTTGTCCATTGCGCTCCCGGTACGCTGACCCCTGCGATTTCCCCCAGATCTGAGAAACTCGAATGCGTAGTTCGTTGCAGTGGGGGACTCCATTTGTGGTCTCCCCTGTAAAAAAAAAATAAAAATTAAAAAATTAAAAAAGTCCCAGAACATATTGTCAAAAATCTCCAGGGAAGAGGTTTGAGGTTTAGAAAACTGTTTTTTAACTTTATGGAAATTTAAGCTTCTACATTTAAACTCCATTTTCACAGTCTATACTTTGGGCTACATTTGTTTAGAAGACATTGACATTTTAGAAACTGATTCTTATTGAAGTGTACTTTCGAAATATGTTTGTATTTTGGGTCCAGATGTTTTAAAAAAAATTATGAGCCTTCTGATACATTAGACATCATAAAATAAAATGTTTTGCCCTCAGACACACAGGAAATAGATGCTCACATGTGTCTATATTTTTACCATTCACTGTAAGTATAGGTATTGGATGTTAGATTTTTTTTCCCCATGTCCATCCCTGGGAAAGGGAAAAAGGGTCCCCTTGGCCTAATGAGGTGCGGAAGTTAGGTCAGCTCTCCCTGAAGCCCATGGACTACCACCTAAAGAAGGATGGACACATGCATGAAAACACTGGAGAAATGATTGCTGAGTGGGCAAATAACTCTAGAGATGGGAAGAAGGACTTGGCCAAGGGACAAGTGTTCTTGACTGCATCCAACGTCACATTCCGAATTCCCCATTGAGAAGGATGGACAGTCTGTTGCTTTTAACAGAAATGGAAAAACACAGGGCCCAGCACTGAATTCATTATAGAGCAGTGCTAGTTTTTGCCCTCCATTTAAAAATGAATCCATTAATAATTACTCATATTAAAAATAGCTTTGTAAGAGGAAAAATGTAAAATTTATATTCTAGGTTAATGTGGTGGGGATTTCAGCTCTGTTTTTCATTTGTAAATAAGTAATTTAGTAAAAACTGGAAAGGTTGGCTCCAGATAAGTAAATAATTAATAATCGTCTTGCTTCCTGGGTGATTTATTTAAGTATTATTTCTAAAAATAATTGTAGAATGAAGATAGTGTGGAAGAGTGACTTATTATGATCTGTACATTCAGAGTGAATCATGAAAAGGTGAACATTAGGGTTTCATTTACTTATTTTTAATCACTCATTTTTTATTGTATTTTTTCCATTACCATTTCCACCCCCTTATACCTTCCTGCCCCCGCAATCACCACACTGTTGTCCAAGTCCACGAGTCCTTTTTCCTTTTTTCTTGATCATGCAAGTTCACATCAATGTTCATATCAACTGGGTGATTCTTGGTTTTCAGAGTCATGTTAAAAATAAGAATAATTTCAAAATGTACAGTGGTGTGTTAGATTTAGTGTCGCAATTTTCTTGTGCACCCTGTAACTTTGAATTAAAAATATGGGGAAGATCTTTAGATAGAACCATAAAATTACTCACTTTGACTCCACTGCTAGGTCAACCAAGTCACATATATTCTGGTGGCACCAGGAAAGGAGACTGCCTTCAAGGGTTACCCTTAGTTCAGAAACTCATAATTTGTTCAGAACCATGAATAAAGTGGGATTGTTAAACTCTGTTACTTTTATTTAATAGTCTTATATCATGTTTCCTTTTGAAATTACTTTCTAGTATCAAAAGTCATCGACTTTAATATTCTTGGGATGGTAAACCTTCATCTGAAGACAGAATTAATATTTTGAAAATGCAGCACATCATGCAGTATAGTTTGTGGTTAATTATGTTAGCAGGTGACTCATGGGAAGGTAGGAGAGGCAAAACCAAGATACCTGTATAGAGTAATAATCATAATTTTCAAATGCTGCTGATAAACTGACCACGAAGATATGTTTTAAGAAAAATAATGTATGTTTTTTCTTAAAACATAAATGTATGTTTATTTTAACCATAACCAAAAGAGACCTAAAAATTTATGTTTACTGAATCACCTTGGTTAAAATAGGAATGAATAGGATTGTGCTATGTGTCTTTAAATATTTCTTAAATTTCTGCAGGTGTCTCAGGGTATTTATGCATGTTCCCCTTTGCTAATGATATTGTATCACTACTCTTGTTCTAATTCAAATATACACTAAAGGTTTATAATAAATAGAGAAGCCTCTAACATGGTGGTTATTGATGTGATGTGAGTAGCAACAGAAAAGCACACGGGTCTATGCATGTTAGTCTTTTTGCTTCTATTTGCTCATTTTCACTGTTTCCTCCTGGCCACTTTTTTGCTCATTAGATCTCTCATTAGAAGGCAGATAGGGAAATCAAAAGGTAATGAAACTTGAATCTCCTAATTTTGCAACTTGTTAGCAGCTCCTATTAAATGTTCAGTGGAAAAATATGCTATCATTATTAGCTAAAAGGAAGCTTAGGGATAATCTATGGAATGTATTTATCTGCTACTAATTCATTAATAATTGATCATTAAATTGGGCCATCCTATTTATTGCACAACTAAATTATTATCAAATGTGCTTTTTTTTGCCTACAGTTAAAAAATTGCTGGAAAGAAATCAAGTTTATATATTTAATAAAATTCAGATTTAATAAAGCAAGGTTCACAACCTCACAAAGCCAACCTCCTTTATTATCACAGATATATAACAGTGCTAATAATGGCTATATTGAATCATCTTGGACTAGAAAAAAATAACCCTGTTGTTTCTGAGGTGCAAGACAGGACAGTCTATCTATATACCTGTTAAACCCTGCAAAAAAAATGAAAGGAGAGATGGCATTTGAGAAAATTCAGAGGTATTGGTGATTTTCAGGGCCCAGCTTGTGATAGTGTGACTATAAGTGGTTTAAACAACAAGGTGATGTAAAGGAAATTTGAAGCCATTTGAGCCTTCTCTTACCATTTAATGTGCTCTAATAGATGGGTGCTTCCTTCTAAATGTATGGTTTTGTCATAGAATCAGAACCCCCTGTTGCTGTGCTGGGGCTGATTAAGTAGACAGACAAGGTTTCGGGTTGAAAATAATACACACACACACACACACACACACACACACACACAGTTTTGGTTAGCAATAGGTTGCACATGGACTGTTTGGTTGGGGAGAAGGGAACAGTAGTGAATCAAGCTAGCATGAGAAATTAAACATAACCTAGAAGAGAAATAGAAGAAAATAGAAGGGAACAAAGGTTTGCTTGGGAGTTTGAGAGGATGAGGGAACACATTTAGCCCGGCTCAAATAAGCTGCTGGGCCCCCCTCCACTTTCTAACATCTATCTGTGTTAGAGACACGGAAATTGGTTCACAAGCTTGGCTGAACTTTGGAATTACCTGGGGCCTTTAAAAGCATGCTGATGCCTGGATCCCACTCCTAGAGATCCTGCGTTCATCAGTCCTGGACAGGGAGTGTGCATCAGGAGTTTCTAAAGTGGCCCAGATGATTTTAATATACATCAAACTTGCCATCTACTGCTCTGGAATGTGAAGATGTCATTTTATGCCCCTTCTCTCGTGGTTCTTTCCTTTCCATCCGAAGGCTCACTTTTTAGCTCCTGCCTGTCTCCCTGCCCCTCCACCCCAACATACATCAGCTTGGCCACAATAGAGATCTGAATGAACTGATAAAATATTCTAACTCCCAAGATGAAGAAGGAAATTCTCTGTATTAGGATCTCCATAAATTAAGGTTTCTATGTCAGACTGAGAATCCTCTCTCCTTGGATTCAGCTTTGGCCATTAAATGTGTAGAATGTTAAACTCTATAATAAGAAACAGAATTACAGGAGATAGTTAACATGTTTAAGACACTCACAGCATAAATTTCAGAATATGTTGCTATCTTTCCAAATCATACATCTGTTAAAAAAACATGAAAATGACACATTTTATCTTTCAGATGCCTCTGCAATTATAACAATTAAAACAATTAAAATGGGATTTATTTACTCAATGCTGTTTTTTTAAAGAAATGCCTGAGACACAAAGGAGAAATATTAATAAATAGGTCATTTAGATATACTGAGACTTCTGTATTCAGTACAGTTGCCTTAAAATCAAACGCGGCAGACAAGGTAAATTTTGAGAACACACTTTGAAAAAGGCATTAGAACTTTTGACAAAAGTGTATGCAATCACAGTTATGCCCCCAAATGAGAAAGGATAATCATTTCACACACACACATCCACATTTGATCTCTCTCCAACAATTCATCCATTCACTCATTCATTCTTCATTCATTCACACATTTATTCATTCAATTGCTTTTCAAATGACAGTAATACTTGAAGAGAGAGCACAATAAACATGTCCCTGACCTTCACTCCATTTAACACCTTCCTCAGTGGTGATCAGCAATGAAGTGACACGAAGAATGTGAATCCAGTGCAACTGACTGGAGGCCAGAGTGGTCTAGAGCGACTGTCCTCAGGTTGGCACTGGTGGCTTGTGCTTGCTAGTGTGTGTTGGGGGGGGCAGTTTCTCTCATCCTCAGTTTAATCATCTGTGAGATATTTATCTACCAAATCTGCATTAGCACGTCCTGTGTGTTGAGCGTAGTGTCCAGTGATGGAGGTGCAGGAGGGAGCCTTGCTCGCAGGGCACGCTTTTCACCCAGCCCTCACTGCAGCAAACACTAGCTGTCATCATTTCATTGTCACTGGACTGTACTGGGTTCGGTGGGGGATTCAGGACATGAAGGATGATTACTGTTACACCTATCATAGTTCTATAAAATAAAGCATTTTATTTTGTTTAACCAAATTGTGGCATCATCCCATATTGCTCTGCAATTTGTCTTTTTCTAGCTGCACTCAGGAATCTGGGTATAAGAACAAAGATGATAAGCATTAAGCATGATCCTGGTTATGATTCATTTTGCATTTTAGATCTTACATTGGATAACAGCACAAATTATTAATGAGGAACATAAAGGAATCAGCTCTTTTCCTGACCTTTCTGCTGCATTTGACATCACTGAAATCATAGCTGTTTTCTTTTAATCCACTCTTGATATCTCTGACACAGTGTTCCTCAGTCTCCCTGGTCCTGTGACCATTGTTTGGCGGGCTTCCTCTTTATTGGGGGGAGGACACTTCTTTTTTCCCAATTACCA